TGCAACTGACTGTCTCTGTCTTGGGGCAGAAGCAGTTCCTGGCTCTGTATTGATTCATTCCTCTCTTTAGTTTGTGGTTTTGTAGGTGTTAATCTTTGCTCATTAACTCATTATCCTCGCTAGCTACTGTGTATTGAGCTGGTCCCTCAGTGAATCATGATTGATTGGTAACACAGTAGCTTAGCAGCCAAGCCTGCAGTAGTTCCCCTCCCTGCGCCCTCCCCCCGCTCCCCACCCCCATGCCCCAAGACAGACACAGTTGCACAAGCACCCATGACACAAGTTTTGCCTGTCAGTAGCCAGAGGTGAAGGGCCTCAGAACCCAGAAGCCCCTCCACCTATCTCCTTGACAGCTGGCAGACTTCATAGCCTCAGCAGGGGCTAGCAGGCCTGCAGCTTTCACCCTGATGTGCCTTAACACACACAGTGTCACCCATGTCACGAGTTTTGCTTGTCTGCATCTTGAGGTACAGTTTCCCCCAAACCCCTGCACCTATCTGCTTGAAACCTGGCAGACTTTGTGGCCTCAGCAGGGGCTAGCATCCCTGCAGTTTTCACCCCGCTGTACCTTAACACACACACAGTGTCACCTATGTCATGGGTTTTACTTGTCAGCAGTTTGAGGTTCAGTTCCCAGAAACCCTTGCACCTATCTCCTTGAAACTTGGCAGGCTTTGTGGCCTCAGCAGGGGACACCATCCCTGCAGTTTTACCCCACTGTGGCTTAACATATACACACAACACGCGTTTTGCTTGTCTGCAGCTTGAGGTACAGTTTCCCAGAAACCCCTGCACCTATCTCCTTGAAACTTGGCAAACTTTGTGGCCTCAGCAAGAGCTATCAGCCTTGCAGTTTTTACCACATTGTGGCTTAACATGCAAATGTGACATGAGGTTTGCTTTCAAACCACATTTTGAGGTGCAGTTTCCCAGAAACCCCTGCACCTATCACACTGAAATATGGTACTTATCATGCTCTCAGCAGAGGCTACCATCCCTGCAAGATTCATTTGAATCAGCCAAAAGACAACAAAGTTATAGATATTTCATTGATTCCCCATTATACCCTATGGCCGGATCTCCAAATTGCTGAATCTTTTCCGAATCGATTCAGAAAGCCTAAAGCTTCCATCAATTCAATTTGGATTCATAGATTTGGCCTCCGAATCATTCTAATCATCTCCAAATCTGAATCATGATCTGAAGCTTTGCACAGCCCTAGTACCTATGACTGATTAGAGACTTTACCGATACTTATCGTGAATGGACTTATTTTGGATTGAGTACATTGTTTTGCCAGGCTGAAAGTCAGGTCTCTCTGGACGGAGAGAAAGAGTGAATTAAAAGTCTGTAGCTGACCAATTAACAGTTTGCCTCACAATTCTATTTTCCTGAGAAGGAGGGAGCAAGTAGCGGGGGAGGACAAGGTATGTGGGGTGAGAACCTCAGCCTTCCCCAGAAGTTTTGTCCTAATGCACAAAGGGTTGTCCTGGTAGGGTGAGGCCTGCTGGCTTCCCCACCTGTAGTGCTCCTGAGTAAAGAGAGAGTGTCACTTTGGTGTTAGTTAAGATCAGAAACCGTCCTCCTTTGAATATTGACTTTAACTCCCATCAAGTCATGGCAGGCGAGAACAAATGCTGGGGGGAAGCTCTGCCAAGTGCGCTATTTCTTTTGATTGATTTAGGACACCCACTCACAATGAGGTACAAGGACAGGACTAAATAATGAAGCTATAAAAATCTTGGGTCTGGCTGGAGAATTATTATTCTGCAACAGGAACTAAGGAAGAGAGATGCAGCTTGTCTTGCAAGGAACCCCTCTGAGGCTCTACCGTAGGAAATGAGCCAAGAATATCTTTGAGGACCATCAAGGGTAGTGCCACTGCAGATAAAGATGTGGAGATTCTGGGAAACACTGCTGCCTACAGAGCACCCAGTGAAGTTGACACAGCTTGGAGAGATTCTTTAGGCCGGGGTGGCCAGACTATGGTACGCACTCTAAAAGTGGCACAAGCAGGTTCTATATGGTGGGCAAACTCAGAGTGCTCAGGAAACAGAGGCATCAGAATAGAGGCAGAACAGAGGCTTGAGTCTTTGGCTATGTAGACCAGAGTGGGCAGGATGCTGCTACAAGAGAAGGTATCAGTTGTCACCATCAATAACCAAGTTAACCCTTCCTTGGCCCTGTAGCTGCTGCTGCATTCAGGGCTTTGGCTACTTACTTGCCATATAAAACTGCAGCAGGGCCAGAGAAAGGTTAATTTGGCTCTTGACTGTGACATGAACCTTGCAACAGCATCTTTCCACTGCTCCACTCCATGCAGCTGAGGACTTGAGCCCATTCTGGTAACCCAGCACCCCTACTCTCTCAGGTACACCTCTCGGAGATAGGGATGAGAGAGGCATCTTGGGAGGGGGCAGAGCTTAACTTGTGGCACATCTGCCGAAGAGGTTGGTCACTACTGGTATGGACTGTCTAAGATATATAAGCTTCACTAGTCCCCAGAGAAGCACCAAACTTCTACAGCACCCTAGCTGTGCTTCCCCAGCCTGTTAGCAGTTTCCTGCTCCCCTTAAAATGTTCACCCAAGATTTTAAAGCCTGGACTGCATTGGACTTCACACACAGATACTGCTTTTTATGTTTACAGTTTTTATTAATTTTTGACACTTTAGTTACTTAAAGATGAA